CACACATTACAAACCAAACCAACTCAGCACCCCACTGAAAATGCCCTCCCTAAAGTTATAATTAAGGAGCTCTGGTGGTGTAGTGGATAACACGTATGGATGCTAACCAGAAGTCAGCAGTTTAAACCTACCAGCTGTTCCATGGAAGGAAGACGGGGCAATCTACTACCATAAAGATTTACAGCCTTGGAAATCCAAAGGGGGTCACAATGCGTTGGAATCAACTTGCTGGCAGTGAATGAGTAAATAAGTTAACTATTTCTATAAGGAGTCCTGGAGGTGCAGTGTTTAAGGGCTTGGCTGCTAACCAAAAGGTAAGCAGCTTGAACCCATCAGCTGCTCTGTGGGAGAAAGATGTGGCAGTCTACTTCTGTAAAGGTTACAACCTTGGAAACCCAGTGGACAGTTCAACTATGTCCTAAAGGTTTTCTGAGTCAGAATTGACTTGATGCCATTGTTTTTCTTTTTTTTTTAACTATTTCCGTAGATCCTTCCCAGTTCTTGTCTTCATGACCTCTCAGCACCTTCCACTAGTAGTGACCATTCCCTCCTGCTGAAAGCATTCTCTTCCCTTGGATTCTTTGGCACCACACTCTTCTCCCTCTTTTCTTACCTCTTTGGATTCTTCACAGTTACTTTGCTGATGCTCTTTCTTTTCCTCACTTTTCACATCTTTTCTAGGAATCTCTTCACATTTGTTTTTCCTCCATAAGCATTTCTATTTATTGCCGTTGCTTTAATCACCATCAAACTATATCTCCATCTAGGTTTCCTGCTCCAGTTACATTCCTCAACACATCAAGCATGACAAGTCCCAAACCAAACCCATTATCTTTCTACCCACTCCTCCTCCAATGTTTCCTATCCCAATTATGGCAAATCAAAGCCGTTAGTCGTCTAAGTCAGTAACTAGGATAATGATTCTATTTGAAAATATAGCTAGAAAATTCACTTGTCTCCATTCCCAGGGCTATTATTCTAGTCTGGATCTTCAGACTAAACAGTCCAATGGACCTGCTGGCTTCCTATCTTACACCCTCTTAACTGATTTTGCCCATGTGATTTTACAAAGCACATGTCTAATCACAGCATTCCCCTCCCCTGGCTATGTTTTCCAGAATCCTTAATGTAATATGACTGTGCATAATCCAGTCTTGCCTACTGCACAGCTCTACTCTCCACATCATTCTACATTACAGCTATCCTAAACTTCTTTACTATTTTTCCACAAAATGATATTCCTCTTGTTTGCCTTCACATATGCCGGTGTGGAACAGTTCTGCCCCTCAAGTGACATTTGGCATGTCAGAAACATTTTTCGTTATCACAACTGGTGGGAGACGCAGTGCTACTGGAATCTAGTGGGTAGAGACCAGGGATGCTGCAGTGCTCCTAAACATCCTACAATACAGGAAATCCCCACACACCGAATTACCTGACCCAGACTGTCACAGCAGCAGGTCTGAGAAAGTCTATGCCCTCTGTCAAAACAACTCTTCCTCTCTCTTCCCCAACCTCTCTGCCAAACTCCCACTTCTCAGTAGTTCTTACCTTAAATATAACTTTCCATGTGAAATTCCCCTAATCTATTAAGCAAGGTTAATTCCCATGGCATCATTTATAATTACTTGTTCAAGATATGCTTTCCTGTGAAGCCCTGTGAAGGTGGAGCCATGTCTATCCATTCACTATTGTGTCTCTTGGTTTACAAAAATAGGAGTTTACTCTGAATTTTTTATAAAGCAAATGCATCTCTCAACCTGTTTCCTTAGCTGTAAATTAGCAATGTTAATATCTACTCTCCCTACCTCACAGTTATTAATGTTTCAGTGATCTGAAGTATATGTAGAATGACCAGCCATACTAGTTTGCACTACAGCCTCATGTCCTACAGAATCCCATTTCTGAGCAAACTGGGACAATTGGGCACCCTGAGTATGAAAAAATAAGTTTTAATTTCAACTTTGTTATATAACTATTTTATCATTTAAAAAAGTATTTCAAGTAGATCTGAGCCTTTAGAAAGCCCTTAACTGTGTTCATTTCTATAAAGATGATGATGATTATGATATTCATCAGGTATCTTTAGAAAATCTGTAGGCTTTATAATCTAACCCAAAATATTTTATTTTCACTTTACACCTGAATTACTATACACTTTTAAGGAGGAAAAATTAGACTTAAGAAACAGTTTTCTTTTATTCTATAAAAAGAGTTTTTCCATATGTATGGTATATCAGCTGTTGGTCACTCGTACCACCAGCTTCATCAAACTGGTAGAAAGAATACCTGAGAGAAATTACTTGAATTCCCTATTGACATAAACTTTAGTCAACCGAAAAGCTATTTCTAAGTCAATATTTTTGCAGTTTCACAATTGTTTATCTAATAAAGAGCTATTATTTCATTGATAAAAAGAGCAATCTGGAGGACTTTATTATATAATTAGCCATTAACTGCATTAAAAGCACTAGTGGGAAGAAATTGGTCATTTCAGAGTGTTAGAGGTTTTATATTATTTATCAAGATAATATGCTTGCATCATTTCACCAAACTAATGGAGTTATGATTTATCTTAGGCACAGATTTACCACACAAAACACTGTTATGTGCCCTTAGCCCTGCAGCACCTCTTTTTAATGATTAGTTAACTTTAGGATAATGAAGGCTTTATCATGTGCCTTATTAGCCATGCAGTCCCTAATGGGAGCCTAACTCATTTAGATAAAGTCAGTTTACTGATCTGTTCTCCACTGGGGGGCTAGGGACAGGGGTCACTAGGGAGATATCATCAAAGATTATATATACTCTAAAAGTGGTAAATAGATCATAGCATTTGGGCTTTGGGTTTCTTGATAACTATTAAAGGTTTTGTCAAAATGGGGTATATTCCAAATAACAATTATTTCCACCTTTTTAAGTAAATTTTTAAAATTTATTTTCAGGTGGAAATTTCTTAGATCAAGGATAATCTTTTTTGCAGTTGCTTAAGTATTTCATGTTGTTGTTGTTATGTGCCGTCGAGTCGGCCCCAACTCATAGCAACCCCTCCTTGGGTTGCCGAGGCAGTATCACTGCGGACATAGATTGCCCAACCTTCCTTCCAAGGAGTGGCTGGTGGGTTTGAACTGCCAGCCTTCTGGTTAGCAGTCAAATGCCTTATGCACTATGCT